CACACACACACACACACTCTGTGTGTAAGCTTGCTAGCACGCTGCTATTAAGGTTGCAGGCAAAAAACACGGACTGGATTTCATGTGGTGGGGGAGTACTCTGTAAGAAGAAGTGGAACGCACCAAAGAGGATCTCTACCTTACACTATAAATTAAAGGGAAACTGACAGATTTATGATCATATATTTTAGTTAATAATAAAATATTAAACAGTTATTTATTTTGACCACATCATATTGAATTTTTGTGAAAAAAATAATTTTGTTTACACCAAAATAATTTAGGGGGGCTTTAAAATATTTCAGGGGGGGTGCTCCAGCCCCCCTGAATCAGGCCTAGTGACGCCACTGCACGCCAGCATGTGTAGATAGGAGCTGCTCTTCCTTTGACCTCCGTGAGGAACGCCAACCAAGAAGAATAATAGTATTTAAACAAGCTGCTTCTGTAGTCAAACTAAACCCCACGACAGGGTTATTTAGATTTTTTTAGAACTTAAGCAACTAAGTATTGTTTTTAAATGACTTTCTAAGATAAATTATCTGCTGTCAATAAAAGCAGCTGATTGTTCCCTGCAGCTTCTCCAAAATAACACGAACACTTTCAGAAATCAGAAAACTATCCTATGTAAATACTTTGAGAACACTTCTAAATAATAAAAATACATCATGAAATTAAATAAAACCCCTTCAAAAAACTAACTGCAAAAACACTCATGAACAAAGAAACTTAATATTTTACTCATAATTAAACCCTTAAATATTTGGGACTGGATGTCAACTGCTGGGTCAGGGGCTGACAGTGGTCCATGGAGCATTTGGTACTGGGCTACAAAACAAAACATAAATATTTTTATATAAATTGATCTGCAGGGTATTTTATTTTGCAAAATGACAATTCTGTTAGCCTTTTGTCCTGGTTTGACTCAGTCGCAGTGATTTTCCACTCATTAGTAAACAAGCTAACCATAACTAAGAAGAGTTAAAGCTCTGTCTCGTAAAAAAACTGGTCTGTGCTGCAAAAAATGAAAAAATAAATGAAGCTTGGGGACCTTTAATGTGTTTAATTTATAAAATCAGCCAAAGTTAACAGGTCAAACATTAAAACTTACAGGACAAGAAGTTCTGCAGACGTTTCGTTGGTTGATTTAGATTTGATCTAATAAACTTTTAAAAATGTTTTTCAGTTTTTAAAAGGAATTCAAGGATCAGTTAAAATAATAAAATACATTTCTAGGATTTTGAATCATTTCATGCAGAAGCAGCTCCACCTCCTCATAGAAAAACCATTAATTTATTCGATCCTTGAGCTGGTTCACATCAAAGTTGCTTCTGTGTGGTTTCTTTAAAGTCAAAGAGTCACAGATAAACAACAGAACATTTGCAATTTTAGCCCTTATTTAAATATTTATGAAAATAGGAGCACAAGAAACATTCAGGAAAAATACTTGATCTAGTTTTGGCTTTAAGGTTCACACTTTGATACATTTCTTGTAATTTTACTAGATAAAATCGATCAGCTGCTCCTGTCGCCTTGCTGCTCCACGATTTAAAACTTGTTGGACAAACTCATCTGATGGAGCAGAGAAAGAATCAAACAAGTAAAAATGTTTCCTTAAATCTGTATTATTATGTGTTCTAAACGGGCTTTGTTTCATGAGGCTTCTTAGGTTCTCAAACTGCGGTCCAAGGACCCCCAGGGGTCAGCAAGAGGTATCTTGGTGGTCCTCAAAAAATGTCACTAAATTGTTAATTTGGTTTTTATTTTAAAAAATGCACAGGAAACAATGAACTAATAAACGAAACATAATAAACTAAATAAAATATATATTTTCCCATGGCATTTAGGGGTTGAAATGACCATAAATTATCTTTTAAAACAGGGTGGGGTTTATGAGGGGTCCTTAAAAATGTTTGGGAACCCCAGAGTTAAAGAGTTAGTTGAATGCATTTTACAAAGCTGCAGACTTCAGATCGTCTCATGTAAAACTTTATGCAAACATGATGCAAAAGCAGACATTTTGTACCTCTACTTGTTTTATTTGTAGTTTTATGATGCATCGCTTCTCAGTAAACTGTTATTTACAGAAACAACCTTGAATCTGGGTCTTTACCACACCTGTAAGATGCTTTTTGGAGGAGCGGCCATGTTTAGTCTCTGCACATCTGAACACTGTGACATTAAGAGGAACTATTTTAAGTCTCGTTCGCTTTTTCTCCTGAAAATAGTTGCTGTTGGGCAGTTTTTCTCGGAGCTCCTCTGAGACCTGCGCAGACATCACTTTAAGACCTTTCAGTAAAAGCAATTCACTCAATATGTCGTGATGTCTAAAGCACATGTCTGACTGTGTAAATGTGAAGTAAAAGCTTTGCAGAAGACACCGAAGATACCGTTCCTGTGGAGTTACAGACACCAAAACGACCAGCGTGGGGCTCGTTTACATGACGTCACCTGATCAGGGGCCCAGTTTGGGCCACTTACTCACATTCACTGTGGCAGCAGCGCCGTTCAGCGCATCACAACACCACTGTTCTGGAAATAAACCTGAAAACCTGAGTTTGTGTGGAGTTTCATTCAGTTTGACTGAGGGTTTGGATGTGACACGCCTCACGGCACGAGATAATCGCCTCCAGTTTGCATCTTAAACGGGAAGATGGTTTGCATTCCTCAAAGCTGCAGAGCTTGAAGGATGGAGTGTGTGTGTGAGACGCAGTTTGTTTTATGTGCATCCAGTTTGTTGTTCGTCACGCACACTTTGTGTTTAATCGCTGCTTCCTGCTCGTTCTTGCATGAACTCTTGCATTAATTATGAAAGAAGGAAATGGAGACCTGGATGTTCGGCTCAAGTTGCAGTTCAGGAACGCTTCATGATCCTCAGGGGCCGGATGGGGGTGGTGGTGGGGGGTTTACAGGGTCAAATCATCCACTTTGAAACCATTTATTGGTTACAACCCAGAGATCTGGATCAGTTCAGATCAATAAAAACAGAATCTAATAGACCAGGGGTGGGCAATCCTGGTCCTCGAGGGCCGCAGCCCTGCATGTTTTATTTTTTTTCTCTGCTCAAACACACCTGCTTTGAATGAATAGCTGATTATCAAGCTTCTGCTGTACGGAGGACCGAAACTGACATAATTAAAAATAAAAGC